CTGAAAAATTTCTAAGGTATGAATGGAAATAACAGCAGATTGCATTACCTACATCCCGAAGGTCAGAGGTTCAGATTACCAAGGTAATGAAACTTCAGTGAGCTGCTTCAGATCTATTAGGTTTGTCAGTTTTTATAAGCACGCTTACTTCAGGAATGCAATTATAACATAAAGGACCTATATTGGTGAAAATTCAGCAGCCGGATCTTAACAGAAGTATTCAAATGTCAGATGCGGGGGAGAGCGTACCTTTATGAGTAGGCTTTTAAGATGAATCAGTTGGTGAGATGGAGCACAGAAGAAGAGGGAGATGAGTGAAAATGTATCATACATAAACACACATTCCCAGATAAAAATTTTGAATTTTTCCCAGAGGTGTCTCAGATTGTAGTCATAAGCATCTATTAACTTATATTATTTCATTAAAATGGTTTAAGAGATCCCAATACAGGTGTCATAGATCATTAGAAATCTGCAACCTTATAAGAACCCTAGAGTCATAGTTTTTTGTAAAAATGGATTATTTAGTGACAATGTAGATGAACACAACCAGTAATTAATCTAATTTACAATTAATGCCACCTAATGCTGGTTTTAAGTCACAATTGATATCACAACACATTGGGGAAAATTTACTCAGGTGTCCTAAATGGACCATTTGTCTTCTTAACAAAATTCAAGGCTGTAACAAAACTCAAGGCTGGATAGAAGACACATAGTAACCAGTGGTAACTTTATGTCTTTTTATATAATAGTAGATGATTATCCTACTGAGCAGAGTTTTCTTTCACAAAACAAAATATTTTAGTTGGGCCTTTCCAAATCAGATATTTCCCAACACTTGGTAATATTTTAACAAGTTTTGATTCAACTATTTGCCAGATGTCGAGGTATCCCTGGAAGAATTACAACCCATATTTTCACGGTAGATTCAGGGCTGGGTTTATTCTGATTTTCAAAATGCATCATCACAAATTAACAGATCAGATGTTAAATGCTAATTTGCTGTCCAAGTAGCTCTGAAATTTCAGTTACTGCCGTTTCTAAAGTTGCAGAGTGCTGGGGAACCTGTGGTCTTGGGGCCACATGTGGCCTTCTGGATCCTTGAGTGTGGCCTTTTGACTGAATTCACATTTTATAGATTTTAATAAAGTGATTTGTTCTGTGAAATTTGGATTCAGTCAAGGGGCTGCAAAAGTGTTCTGAACAGGACCAGGGTCAGACCCTGCATTTTTTAAGCAAATCCAGTGGTGATGTCCAGACTTCCTTTCACTGTATCGAGCTGGAATTCTGTCCACAGCCAGTGCTGAAGGTTGAAGATGATTCACTCAGAAAATCTTTCACACTATTGCAAGCCAATTAATGTTTCTTATTAATGGGTATGAGTTACAAAGTATTGGGGAGAGCTCTCTGAAGGAAGGTGTACGATGTTATACTGTATCAAATTAATAACAGGGACATTTGCATCACAACTGGCTGTTGTGACTGAACCTACAGTCTCCATCCAAAAGGAAGGAAAGAAGGGAGAGCAGGAGGCCCAAGAAGGGTGTAGAGAGTTTGCTGCTCAAGAAGAATAGCACAGGGACTTTTTGTATTTTTAGTTTTTATTTTTTTGATGTGTCCACATTTAATTTATTTGGGTGCTCATACAAGAAAGGGAAATAAAGACTCGAGAAGCTTACTTACTTGGCTTAGTCCAACTCACTTCCATGGCTGTGTGGTTAAGAACACTCGCTGTGAGATTGGCTGCTCTCTCTGGAAGACCAGCTAACGTAGTCACGGTCACTTCCCGGCTTGGCGTAAACCCCACGCTGTTGTGTACAAACAGTTTATACTCGTAGGTTGTAAATCTAAAAAGTTTGTAAAAAAATATATATATAAGTTCCTGTTTTACAGAAAATATGACACATCATTTCTTTTTTCTTCACAAAATACAGGATTTCCTTTTCCCACCTCCACAAAATGCTCACTCACCTTTTTTGCCCTAGGAAATACATTATTTTCTTTTTCCTCCTTACACAAAACATATCATTATTTTTATAACTCACCAGTCTTAACCAAAGCATCAGGGAAATGTTTTATTAGGAATGCTAAGCAAATATTGCTATTTAAAACAAATGTGGTTTATCATTTTCTTATTCTTATTGTTCTCAGAGCAGTGAGGATTACAGCTCAACTCAAGATGCAATTACGAATCTGGCAACCTGCCAGCTTTCTATCTGAATTTGATCCAGAGAGTTTTATGCTCTTCTTTTTGGAAACTCATCCATTTTCAAATATCAGGATCCCTCATCACCATTTTCTTCCTATACCTATGCTGCTTTCCCATAATCTCATTGCAGACAGATAAACCCCTAAATTAAATTGTAACTGTGACTAAAGTGTACAACATTCTCCCGCTGAGAGTTTTGCTACAGTGAGCTGTATTTTGTCGGAGTGTGAACATATTTACTCGAGTCAATACAGTGGAAACTGAATATCACTTTGCAGAAGGCGAAAACTGACATGGTGATGTGATAGGAGGAGGATATTCCAAGTCATATATTAAATTGACAGTAGAGTAAAGCCATCAATTCTTCATTCCCTTTGGGTTTTTTGAGAAGAAGACCATCAGGCTTTCTTTGTTTAGTTCAAAACTGCCTGGCTAGGAAAATGCTATTTATAGACACAGGCAGGCTATGAGTGGACAGTAACTTAGACTGAGACACTTGCTTAAACATCTTGTGCACACGTGACCCTCCCAGGAGCATCCAGGACTCACGGCAAACACTGGCCTCAGATCATCATTATTTAACTTGAGTTTATTAGATGATCAAGGAGACTTCGCCTCCCATGCAGGACCCACAGTATCTATCTCAATATATCGCGACCCCTGGTGGTCGTGATACAAAGGAGAGGGTGCCATTTTCAGGATTGTGCCAAATCATTTGACCAAAATTAAGTCTGGATTCTCAGAGCATTTTGCTACCACCTAGGTAGAAGAAGTCTGCTTGACTCACCCTGTTTCTCACTCATGTCCCAAAGATATTTTTTCAGGGTTCTGCCTCAGCCACCTTTAAGGGTGTTGCTTTGCTTCTGGGACTCCAAGAAAAGACTTAATGACTTTTTGAGGATGTTTATGTATTTCTCCTAAATAAGAGCTAGCATCAGGTCTCCTGTACTTTGCTACTTTTCTATCTCTTCTCTGGTGCTTATTGTCTTTCTTTTTTCTCTGCTTTGTATGCTATAATGGGTTGAATTGTGTCCCCAGCCCTAATGATATTTTCAAGCCTTAAACCCTGGTACCTATGAATGTGACCTTATTTGGAAATAGGGTCTTCGCAGATATAATCAAGTTAAGATAAGGTCATATTGGATGAGGAAGGGCCCCAAATCCAATGCCAGGCTGGAGGGAAAAGAGAGGGAAATTTTTATAGAGACGTAGACACACACAGGGAGAGGCTGGTCATGTAAACACAGAGGCAGAAATTGGAGTTATGCTGCCACAAGCCAAGGAATGCCTGGGGCCACCAGAACGTAGAAGAGGCAAGGAAAAGATTCTCCTCTAGAGCCTTGGGAGAGAGTCTGGCTCTGAAAAAAACTTGATTTGGGACTTCTAACTTCCGGACCTGTAAGAGAATAAATTTCTGCTATTTTAAGCCACCCAGTGTATGGTGTTTTGTTATGCCAGCCCTGGGAAATTACTATATATGCTTTTTAGCAAGTACTAAATAGTCCATATGACCAAGATAACTAAAAAATAATAAAAAATGAAAAAAAAATCAGGAGTTACTTTGTATGTGTCAGGAATTTTCTACATGTATTAACCCATTCATTCCTCACAGAAATCCATAAAGTGATATTACAATACCTATTTTGAAAATGAAGAAAATAAGGCTCAATGAATTAAATAACTTGTCCAAGTTATTAAGCTAGTAAGTATAAGGACTGGGATTCAAATATAGACAGTCTGATTCCAGAGCTTGCTCTTTTAACCGTGACTTTACACTGCCCATCTAATAGTGATGATAATAATAGTAACAGCAACCATAATGATAATCTGGTCTGTCCATACTTGGATGATGTCATATCACCAGGGCTTGACCTTTTAATCATTTTTCTAGCAGAGGGGATAGATTTTGCTTATGCATCCGAACAGTCTGGCCAAACTTCTTTTGCAACCACTGGTATGAATATGAAGGATGGAAAGTCAGGGTTAGGAGGGTAGCAAGCCTATGGCAATGGAATGAAATGTAGCTAATGGCTCACATGGGAATTGAACCAGCAACCTCAGCTTCATTAGCTCTCTCCCTGGGTAAAGTACTTATAATTATTTTTTTACTTCATAAAATGGCTTAAAAGAAATTTAGCTAGAATCTGGATGCCTAATCTCCTCTCCTATAATATTTGAACTTTCCTTCCATATGTCTATGCTAATACACAATTAGTAATCTTTATGGCTTTAAAGTGATACCATGTTTGTTGTTCTTTTGTACATGTGGAATTTACAGCATAAGGTGGCACTAAAATAGTTAATTGTAAATAAATTCTGGAGCACCTTAGTTCTTATGATACTTTAAGGCACTTCATCATAATGTGGGTATGGTGAAATACACAATTTATGTCTGTTTAGAAGAAGCTTAGGCCACACAGATGCATGCAATTGGGAAGCCTGTTTTCAAGGTGGTACTAAAATTTTAAAGCAAGATATGGCTTTAGAGTTTCTCTGCTTCAAATAATAAAATGTCTGCTAAATTTTACAGGTTATAAAGAAAACCTGAGACCTTGAGAAATTAAGTAGATTTGCCTAAGCTTGCACAACTAGTTAACAGGGCTAGCTGGGCATCTAGTTTCCTCATTTTCAATATTAAATTCTTTCCACTATTCATTATTTTATTTAATTGAGAAATCAGTAGGTATTTCACTTGATGCTATGCATTTGCCTTTTGAATATTCTTTAACTTTCATTAAGTTTAAGTTTTAAGGAAATAACATCTTTAATTCTCTTAAATGCTAAAATACACTGTTTTCACTGCATCTGAAATCTAATCTTTATGTAGTAAGGATACATACCTATGACTTAACTACATATATGTGTTGGTTATGTTTCACCACTTCATATCAAAAAAGAATGTATTAGTTGGCTTGAAATGGTTTTTCCACTCTATGTATATTGTCTTTAAAATGGACTTAGATGTTGATTATTGATATCAAATGGGACATTCCATCTAGTTATTACTAAAAGAATACCTTTAAAAGAAAAATGCTAGATCAATTGACATCATATACTCATGGCAAAACTTATTTATATCAATCAATTTCTTCCCTACATACTAATTGTGTTTCTTAGACATGTCTTTAAAATGTATCATTTCAAACTCTGTAGAAAATAACTTTTGAAATCTGCAAAGTAAATGAATACTTATATTGAATCTATAATGTAGCTAGTAAAACCAAT